ATAAACTATCAAGAATTTCCGAACTGTGTTTCACCTGCCGGATGTATTTTTGCCCAACGGGGATGGATGTACAATTTTAGATCGCGATACTGCTAATTTCAGGTGCTTTATGAAACAGAACTGCCGTCGTTCTTATTTTGCTGTATAAAATTTCCATTATTCGCAACATGGGTAAACAGAGGTACACGAAGACGCCAATTTCTGGCAAGTTATCTCATACTACTTTTATTTTGTAGATTTCATGTCTATCACAAGCAACATTTGGCTGATTTCTTTTCGTCTTTCTTTTCTCTTTTTGAGTTTACTATACATGCTTCATTTGATCTTCTTACTTTTGGCAATTGTGTATTTAGGGCATTGGGCTCAAAGATTTCGACGTATGCGGGCATATAACCCGCGAGCTACTTATGAACAAGCACAATTGATCTCACAGCTTTTTGAGGAAGGTAAGAAGAAACCTAACAAGAGTGCTAACAAGAAGGCGAAAATAGTAGATACCACCGATGAAAGCCAGGTATGTCATAGCGTCAATTTCAGCTTGCAGTAGTTCAGTTTTTGAGTTGGTTGTGTGAAAATCACATTCCTTTGCCAGTTTTTTTTTCCATACCATTCATTCAGTCGGTTTTTATCATATCGCTTTTTATATACATCCTTCTTCGTTTGGGCTCTGATGTAACTCTGAAAGTTTTATCCATTAAATTTATAATAAAACACAATTGTGATATGACGATTATGTAGGTAAGCTTTAATACGTCACCGGAGACGTACATTAGTTGAGATTCTATTTAAAAAAGTTTGTGTAGAAGAAGAAATCAAATCTACATTTTATTGTTGTCTTTAACCTAAATTGCTGAAAAATTTTCATCAAAAAATTTTCTTATCATTAATTTGCAGCTTTGCATTGCGAGATAATCTTTGATTTACCGTCGCTTCTGCTCGTTCTTGAAACTATCTTAATCGTTTTTACCCTTTAGTTTTTATGCTTCATGAACAACGGCAGAGAGATTAGGTTAATTAATTGTGCCTGCTTAACCGCTTTTCTTGAACCGCGTCTTCCTCCCTCTCCTTTCACTACCCCCACAAAGCCTTTGCGTATTTGTTGATTTTTTTTTTGTGTTATGGCAGCAAACGATCATTTGGCATCGCATTATGAAGTACAATTAAATATTACAGCATTATAATATTGTCGATCTCCCTGACGATGTCCTTCTGAAGATATTCAAATATGTATCCTACATATCTACTCCTGATCCCAGTGATCCGCGTTTAAGGAAGTCTGTCTTTGGTGGTTTAAATAGGCTTGCCATAAGAGTGAGTAGTTTGGTTGTTTTTGTTTCTACTTTTAATATCTGGTTACCATATTCAGGCATTGTACCGGCTGCGCCCTGTATGCAAAAGATTCTGCGACATTTTTTATAAATATCACTCTAGCCTTCCCAAACCCCCTATTGGTTTAAGGCTGCAGGTATCTGACAATTTCTTAGGCTCAGCTAGCTGCTCAACTTTTTTGCTATTCATCTTGCAGGCAGCTGTCAATCGCGATCGTACTTATGGTGGGGCTGTCGTTGCTTATATTTATGGCGATTGCGGAGTACGGTACTTTTCCAAGTTTGTTTATGTACAAGATGTTCCTGCTGCAATATTGTGAGCGATTCTTCAGTGTTATCATGCCTTTCCATCTGCCTTTTGAATGAGCAGCTTAATGCATTGTTTTAGTCCTGGACAAATTTGTACATTTCTCATTATCAAGAGTCTCGTCATGACAGAGGATTTGATGGATATGCTCCTAAGACTAGACCTCTCTAAGGTGACGCTAGGTGCAAGAGTTTACACGACTTTAGTATTCTTATTTAGGTCGAGGAACTATTTTGGTATGATATTCGTGGTTCGCGCGTGAAAAATCTTGTCGAAAGAATGCAAACACTTCTGCGTAAAATGACATCGCTGGTTAGCGCAGAATTCTATGCCACAGATGACTTTTTCGATCCGACGACAATGTTCCCTAACACAAACCGTTATTGGACAGAACTTGGATTGGAAAAGTGAGTTGAAGCCTGTTTCTAAGGTCGTTGTCTAAAAGCTTTCGCGCATGAACAAGTTTACTTAGCTTTTTAGACTAGTTTTTTTTGTTTTAAAATTGAGTATTAATGGATTTGTAGTTTCCTTTTTTTTCACCCCTGCAACTAAGTGGCTTTCTTATACAAGTGCTGACTTTGTTGTCGCTGCTGGTCCAATCAATTTATTCAT